ATTGAATTAAAATATATGTAAAATTTATTTAAATACATTTTTTCTTAATAAAGTCTCAAAATGTCGCATTAAGAATCCATGGCATGCTAAGATAGATAGAGTTTGACTATCAGTCCAATTAAATCAAAAATCGTGCCATTCAAACTATTATCACAAGCCGCAATTGAATTGACATCAAGTCGGGCCAATTCAAAGGGAAAAGTGGTCCATTTTGTGGCCTTGACGAGGGCTGAATAACCAAAGATGGGCAATGACAGTGATAGAGGGTGGGAGCGGGAGATAGGAGAGGGCTGAAAACGCATTTCACTTTGCATATCAATGCGTAACAAGAAAATGGCAAATGGCCGTTGATAGCAGCGAAATTCGCTGAAATCGCACGAACGGAGAGAGGACGAAAATCGCGTTGACTTTGACGTTGATGTTGTCCTTAACGGGGACAAGCCGTCGTGCAAACTGGCCAAGACACGCGCCCAGCTCTGCTGAAGTTACCTGCTGTCCTGCCGTCCTGCCGTCCTGCTATCCCCATGTACTGATGTCCTGATGTATATTTGCATTTAAATCAAACAAGCTGCGAGGCGAAAGTGTTTACTCCCGCTGCATTGACTGTGATAAGTTGTGCAAAGAACTTTCCAACCTTCGTTTGCCTCGCATACCCTGTACTCTGAGCCAGCTAATGTCGCCCCTTTGTCCGCTTTGGTTGTAAATGTCGTGATACATTTGATTTAGCATACTTTGCAGGGCAAGCACCAAGTAAACCTTCCACATTCCACTGCCATGTTTTCTCTGCTCCCTTTTATTGCTGTGTTAGTTTTGCATAAATTATGTATATCGTCTGTCTTCAGCAAGTCGTGGCTGACTATATATATGAATATATAAATGTACAGTTTCAGTCTATATATACATATGTATATATGTACGTTTGGCGGTTAGTGAAGTGGGGCTGGCAAATCGCTCGCAGCTTGAATCTATTTGATTTCTTGCGGTCCGTGCCAAGTCACAGGTGACATTTTTATGGCCAATCTGCGCTGGCAATAAAACGATTGCCTTTTATTTTCGCTCAAGGCCGGGCTCCGAGGCGACGCAGCAGCTGCCACAGAGTAATCTAGTCGGTTGCTCAACGCTTGCGGCCCCGCCACAACATGTCCCCCATTCGGCTGGCCAGGATTTCTAAAAATTTCTCGGGGGAATCGCGGCACACGCATTCGCTCGCTCTCATACGAAATGAGCACTGGGACGGGAGATTCGCTTTCAATTTACTATCCGTCTACGAGTTGGCCAACAACTGGGCACAGTTTTGGTTATGATTTGGATGCAGCTTTGTTTAATATTTTACGCACTCCCTGGGAATTAAGCAGCCCTGGCCGGAGGGAGCCAGCGTGTGCACCAGAATTTAATTACATTTCAATTTAACGAAAGGTTCACAGTGCCCTCCACGGTCACGGTAGATGTTCAGCCAAAATAGATACAGCAGCCGCCACGCGAGTTGCGATCGAACAGGAAATACTCTTCAGTCAAGCATATGAATTTGATATTTATGTATTATTATTTATGAGAATAGGAGCAATAGGAATGGGAAAAAAACTGAGATATAGAATGTTTTCGCCTGTCATTTAATATAAATATGCAAATGGGAAAAATCGGAAAAGTTTAGGAAAAGTTGTAAGCTCAAGAAATTTCCAAGTGTTTTGGTGTTATGGCTTAAATCAACTTGGGCCGAGCTGTGGCAGCTATCCCATCCGTAGAGATTCCATACTTTTGTTTTCGAAATAATCAATGAATTCTCTTAAAATATATTTCCTTCTACATCAGGTTTATATTAAAACTAATTTAGTAGAATAAAGCCTTATTCGAGAAGTACTTAGCTGTTGACTTGAATTTTCCATTTAAGGACTTGCCATTTGATGACTTGTAAAATTCTAGCTTAAAGTTTTCCGCTTGAATAACATTGCCAGAGATCATCATAAAAAACTTTGCTCATTAAAGCGTAGCTAGAATAAAGAGCATTTGCAGTACGGCCTTCAGCACTTGAGTTAACATAGATG